CCATGCCATTTGCTTTTCCTTTTTGGTTGTTCACCTTTGAATAAGGTGAATTACTTTTTGGACGGCATTTTATAAGATATTTGTGTTAGTTTTCTATTGCTACATAACATAGCATGCAGACTTAACAACTTGAAACAGCACAAAATTTTATTTTACCAAATTCATGGGTCAAGAGTGCAGCTCAGCTCAGCTGGATTCTCTGCTGAATCTCAAACTCAAGATGTTAACTGACTACATCTTCATTTTGAGTCTCTAGAGAAGAATCCTTTTCCAAGCTCATTAAAACTGTTGGAGGTAATAGTTTTTCGGAATTGTTGAACTAAGATCCCCATTTCCTTGACGTTTGTCATTAGCGGCTGCTCTTAGTTTCTAGAAGCTCCTCCACATTCTTTGGCTTATGGTCCTTTCCATCTGCAAAGCCAGCGATGGCTCAGAGAATTTTCTTTTGCTTCAGATTTTTCTGACTTTTGCTGCTGCTGCAAGTTAGAGAAAAACCTCTGCTTTTAAACGGGTGCATGTGATTAGATTGAGCACAACCAGATAATCTTCCTGACTAGTTCAAAGTCAGCTGAGTAGTAACCTTAAATTACTTTGTGGAATCTCTTTTTGCCACTGTAACATAATCAGAGGTGTGATATTGTCATATTCTCAGTTCCAGGAATTATGATGGGGAATTATGGGGGATCATCTTGGAGTTTGGCAAAACATAATATACATGCAGGATAGGGACTTAGAACCCTGTTCTGGACAAGTAGGGATTCTCACTGGTTAAGATGGATGTTCCTCGTGAGTGGGTTATTTAGTTTTTACTTCTTTCCCATATGCAAACGTTGCTGTTCACTTTTAGAAGCTTTTTCTGGCACCTTGCCTCTATGATGGACTGTTCCTTGTTCTGCCCCACTTCACTGGCTACTCTGTGATGCTAGGCAGATAATCTTCATATAGGATGTTCACATTTATTTCTAAGCAGATTTAGTTTATTTTTTCTATTATATGTTGTTTTTTTTCCTTCACTCACATCATGTAACTGAGCTCCATATTTTATTCAGATTCCCCTAGCTTTTATCTGATGTCCTTTTCCTGTTCCAGGATCTGATCCAGGATACCATATTCCATTTAGTTGTCATGTTGCTTGGTTTCTCTTGGCTGTGGTATCTTAGATTTTTCCTTTTCTTTTTCTTCTTTGATGACCTTGGAAGTTTTTAGGAGTACTGGTCAGATGTTTTGTAGAATGTTCCTTAACTGGGATTTGTCTGGTGTTTTTCCGATGATTAGACTGGGGTTATGGGTTTTCTGGGGGAGGACCACACAGGCAAAATGCCATTTTCATCACATTATATCAAGGGTATATGCTATCAATATTGCTTATCACTCTTTATGATGACCTTGATCACCTGGCTGAGGTAGTGTTTTCAGGTTAATCCACTGTGAAGTCCTCTTTTTATTGTCACTTTCCATACTATTTGAAGGAAAGTCCCTGTGTGTACCCACATTTTAGAGGTGGGGTGTTACGCTCCATCTCTTTGAGGGTGGCATATCTACATAAATTACTACAAAGTCTTCTATACCAGAGATTTGTCTCTTTCTCTCACATTTATTTGTTTATTCAATCAATTATTTTTCATTGTGATTGGATAGATATATTTTTTATACTTCGGTTTATAATCCAATGCTACTTTATTTTGTTACTCAAATTACCCCAGCCTTGGCTACCAGAGTCCTTTCAGTTGGCTACTGTGTGCCTTTGACATACCTCTGTAGTTGTGGAGTTTTCGTTTATTTTGAGCACTTCCTTACTATCTGGCACTACGAGATGATCCAGGCTCAGTCTGGATATTTCCTGCTCCAGTCCTGGAACCAACCATTTCTCCAAGAGGATCTTTAAGTAGAGAATGAGAAATAACTTTATCATCTAGAATGTAGTAATTATGTACAGTTCCTTTTGCCTGCAGTCTTGCAGGTTTTGCTCGTTTCCAAAGTTACTTAGATCAGCACAGTTACCCCCACTCTCTTAAGTGAGGTTGCTTCATATGTTTCTATTACAGTTAGATCTTTTTATCATGTTCTGCATTTCATCTTGGAACTTTTTGACTTAAGTGATTTTTAAAAATTCGTATACATTAAATTTCACTCTTTGTACTGTAAAGTTTAATGGATTTGGACAAATGCACAGTGTTATGTATCCACAATTAAACCATCATACAGAACAGTTTCACCACCCTAAGAAAAATCTCCTGCGTTTCATTTATTTAACCCTCCTCCTCTCTGCCTGAACCCCTAGCAACCACTGATCTTTTTACCATTATCACAGTTGTACCTTTCCAGATTGTCATATACTTGGAATCATAAAGTATATATTCATTTCAGACTGGATCCTTTTACTTAGCAATATGCATTTAAGATTCATTTATGGCTTTCTGTGTCTTGATATGTCATTTCTTTTCATCAGTGTTATGCAAAGCAGAGAAGAAAATTATTTAGAAAAATACAGAGAGTAATGTGTTGGATACAGTAGTTTTCATAAGTAGATCTTAGGTCTTGTTTATTTGGGAAAAATGATAAGATGTTAACTGTTACAGAGCCTTTCATGCAATACTGTAAAATTGATTAGTGCCAGGCTGAGGTATTGATACCCTCAAAGCTTAGACAGCTAAAGTAATTACAAGAGACTTGTGCTAGAGAGGGATTGCAAAAATCAATGACACAAAACTGAGCACCCAAAAATAAACCTGCAAATAAGAAATGTAATAAAAACTGTACTCTTTGAGTAATCTAAAGGAATGGTGCATCCCTGTCTCTTCCCACTAAAATATATTACATACAAATTAAAAATAAAGTAATAGAAATGCTAGGATAAAATCATTGCTAATTTATATGTAATTTTGGGGAAGAGAAGGCTTTTATAAGCCAAATATCAAACTCAGAACATACAAAGTAAATTTAAAAAGTTAGGTCACAGAAAAATATGAAGAGACCAGTAAACATATAGAAAAATGCTTAATTTTATTGATAAATTTTTAAATAAAATTTAAAAATTGCATTTATGTGGGGGTTTTTTGGTAACCAAAGAGCTTGGTACTTATTTAAGTTTTATTATATAAAATATTGCTGCATCGCTGCTGGGATTTCATATCTGTATAACTTTTGATAAAGCAATTTGGTACTATCAAAATATAAATATTTATACACTTTAACATAGCAGTTCCACTTTTTGAAGCCTGTCCTAGAACTAGCCTTGTTATAAATATACCAAGATAAATTTTAAAAATATTTATCACAATTTTGTTTGTAAATATGTGTATAATATAATAATACTCATGGTATATGCTATACTATTAGTTATTAAATATAAGTTTTAGGCTAGGTAAATAACTCACAGGATATTTATGTTGTGGAATAATATAATAGCACCAACAAAGAAATTTAAATACAGCTTTAAGTTCCAACATCAAAGATGTCCAGGACATAAGTGAAAACTAGAAGTTGTTGAATATAAGAATAGTATGTTTAGTATGATCACACTTGTGTAAAAAAAAGTAAATGGATATAAAACATGTGAATGTGTGAGAAGCATGTCTGAAAAATGATAAAAGGAGCTATTCACAGGGGTTATTACCTTCATCTAAGTTACATGAGAGAGCATAAAGTGGATGCAGAGTTTTGTTTTTCTCATGTATTCTTCTCTGTTATTTAAATTTTATTTTTAAAAGCATGGTGCAACCTCATGGATTATTTCCTCTGGGAAAAACAACAAACACCAAAACCTCATAGAATACTCATATTAATCAGATGTCTACCAAATTACTACAAAAAGATATTTACCTATTATAAAAAAAGAAATAGGAATAAATGATAACCCAAGAAATACGTGTATGTTCACTTGTGCAATGTATCAAATAATGAGATTGTTAGTCTCATCTACTGCCTCCAGGAGGTTGAATTGAATATTGCAATTCGAATGTCTGACATGGCCAAGTAGGTAAACAAATAATGCAGACCTAGCCCAGTTATAAATACAAATCATCTGTCAAAATATCCATCAACCTCTTATAACATGAATATATGCAATATTATAAGGTATAGTTTGAATTAGAAATGTTAAAAAGTACATTTTTGTGCATAAAATTTGCATCTGGATATTTGATGGCCATGAACCAGTTAAAGAATCTTTAGATTGGTGCTTTGGGCGCCTTAATTATTTCACCAATGAGGAAATAATAAGTCTTGCTCTGATGTTAAGGAAATGAAAATAGAATTAGCTGATGAGGGTATTGTTAAAATGCAAATTCCTGGATACTACACCAGATTCAAAGGGCTGGGAATATATTTTTATAAAGCATATTTTGTTCATTAACATTATCAGATGAGTTTAGGAAACAGGGATTTACTATAATACGCAGGGTTTGAATGTGATTTTTACAATTTTAATCAAGTTTTAAAGAAAAGCATTTTTCCTTTGATAATATTCAAAAGAATATCCTATGTTGCTCTAAAAATTAAGTTAATAAAATAGTTCGAACTATAAAAAAGAACTAGATATAACTTCCAAATATTACTGCTTTGTGGTAAATATTGAGAATTACTGTTTTGGCCAAAGTATCTTAGTATACAAGATGTTGATTGTAAATTCAGTATGGTGGTCATATTGTATTTATGACTTGGAAAAATAAAGGCTATTTTTTTCCCCTTTAATCTGAAAACTGTCATTTCTTGGCACTACTTGCTTCAATTGTGTTTACATTAATTTACCTGAAAACTTGTTAATTTTGATTCTTAAAGTATTGTTTCTCAGTGTCATTCTACATTTTCTAGATTTTAACATGATAATATTTCATAAATTTCCTTTAGTAACATGTATTTTAAAATAGTTAAATATAATCAAAGTGAAGTGATTGGAGGAAATAAGGTTATGTTAGGCAAGTATAATTTGTAAAGATAAGTGTTTCAAAATTATTACTACATTTCTGCATATACACAATTTCATTTTTTTCCCCCTGAAGATACTTGCTTAACAACAAGGAATACAACCAGTTGTACCTCTTCAAGTTCTTCACTTTCTAACTACTTATACATCTTCATCTTGGGACAACTATTGCTGGGAACAGGAGGAACTCCTCTCTATACCCTGGGAACAGCCTTTATTGATGATTCTGTGCCTACACACAAATCTTCTCTCTATATAGGTAAGTTTGCTCTGTAATATAAATATCTCAGTATCATTTCTTCTTATTGCCTATCTAATTTATAAGAAAAACATAATACATGCTTATTAAAAAAAGTTAGTCATAATTTCATGGGTGTTTCCATGAGATAAATGCAATATTACTTTTTTTTGTTTAATTATTTACTGACATATCATGTCCTTCAGTTGAATTCAGTTGTGAGTTTTGTTGACATCCTGCTCTATTTCCTGCTGTATTGCCATTCAAGCAGTAGATGTCTAGATTGCTTTAATTCCAGGCTAATTTACACAGGGTGTGGAGATTGAATTCTGCCATTCTATGTGATCTATATCCTACTTACTAGTGTCAACAAAAGAAACCACAAGGTGATACTCAGAAACTCTGTGGAGTTTTTCCATTTCAGATTAACCCTTTTGATATATGACTCATTTTTTTTTCCTTTTTGATCTAATTTTTGGTAGCATAAATTCCTCTTAATTTCCTTCCCTCATGTCCTAAAAGTTAGAGCTAACTAGACTATACATGACCCTAGAGCCAATTAATGTGTTTTTTATTTGTGTATGGGTTTTCACTTTATCAATTTATTATTCTAATGTAGGGGACTGTCTTAGCCCATTCCAACCACTGTAACAGAATACCATAGACTGGTTGGCTTATAAACAACAGAAATTTATTTCCTACAGTCCTGGAGGTTAGGAAATCCAAGATCAGGGTGCCCACAGATTCAGAGTCTGTTGAGGGCTTAATATGAATAAATTAGAAGGCTTTATATATGGTGAATTTTTAAATATCTGAGAGAAACAAAGTCAGCTTAATTCTGTAAAAATGTGAGATTCACTAAGAGCAGGTGTTTAATCGCTTACTTTTAAGAAACAGACTAATGACCAGATCCCAGTTTTTATCAGCTGCTGTAGTGCAAAATGAAGAATGCTTTTGGAGTGTGTTCAGAGTGTAAAAGGCTTATTATTCCGCATTGTTTTCTTTCATAAGAATTGTAAACAATAATTATTATCACTGCCTGTAAAGGATAATAGTAGATGTACCATCCCTGCTGTCAGTTAACATAATGTAACTTTCCATGGATTTATAATTATTGGATTTATTGCAATTATTATTACAGTGTAGCAATTTTTACATTAGATTATATATTTTAAGCTTCTGGACTCTATAAGTGATTCCATTCAAATGGTATTTTTTAATGAAAATATGTATAATTTTCATGTAATTTGAATCATTTCAATTTTTGTGCAGCAAAATATTTGTCTTTCTTTAATATGTTGTTAGACATTCAACACAAAGTTGTACAGATGACCATTTTCCATGTCTTTGTTCTTATTCTAGGAATTGGCTATTCTATGTCAGTATTAGGCCCTGCTATTGGCTATGTGTTGGGAGGACAGCTGTTAACCATGTACATTGATGTTGGTTTGGGACAAAGGCAAGGCAATATCTCTTTTTATTTTACTTCAGTTTATTTCATTTTAATAATATTAACATCATAGACAGAACATTTTTATCATATTTCCTCAATATAGCAGGAGGGAATTTACAAGAAACAGAACTGAATACAAACAATTTTTACATAGTATTTTGGTTGTATTACTTCATGAGTTTTTATCACATCATCTCTTAGTATAATGTATTTATTCATAAATAAGGATGTTTAATAGTTACCTGGTAAATTTTTTTAAAATACTCATATAAGACCCCATACAGTGTTCAAAAAGAAAAATTTAATTAAAACTAGTTAATGCTTTTAGTCGATTTAGCTGGAGGTAGTAGGTAGCTTGAAGAGTCTCAAGAGTCTATGATTCTCAGACTAAGTTCTATAGTAGCTCTGATAATGTCATAGAGATCACAACTGTGCAGTTTTAATGACCGTGACAATGAAGGATAGTAATAGGTAATGTTTGTTTATCCCATACTATGTTCTAGACAACATAGGTTTTTGTGTGTATGTGTGTGTGTTTTATCTTATCTTACATGCTATTTTTATTTAATCCTCTTGATAATTCTATAAGGTAGTTGATACAGCTTGGTAGGTGGCCAAGGCATGAGTAAAAGTAGTTATTTTTAACTCCAAAATCCCCCTCTTAACTACTGAATTATCTTTTCCTTTTCCTGATTAGAGAAGTTGGTGACCTTTGGTAAGGCCATATTTTCTCCTTGTACCACTGGGAATCATAACTACACAATCCTTGTATAGTAATTATACAGTCTTTGCATGACTGTGAGCAATGACTGTGTGGTCATGGGTATTTGATTTGTCCTTTGTACTGTTAGTCCAGGATTAATAGGTTCATCTTTTAGAGACTATAAAAAAGGTATGTAGGGGAAGCACTTGAAGCTGATAGCTGGATTTTTAAGAAAAGACGTTTTAATTTCAGTGGAGAATTACTTGTAGGAGTGACATGTTTTGGGGAAGAGCATTTGCTATAAAAATATGAAAACCATTATAAAAAATTAATAAGTTATTTTAAGAATTTTACATTTAAATGAATGCTATATAATTGAAGTACAGCGTATGGGCTTTTAACATAAATCAATGATTTGCTGTGAGATATATTTAATATAGTAGAGAAGAAAAACCTAGCCAAAGTTAGATAAAGAATGTTAAGAAATTCTACATATGCTTTCAAATATTCAACATACTTACATTTACTATTAAATATTTTAAATTTCTATGTCATATTTGCCATTTTGAAATATTTTGCAAACCATTATTTTTGTAGCTCTCACTTATGCCTGCTATCTGTTGTCTGATTCATCATAATGGCTCTACTTAAAATTTTGGGTATTATAAAAATATCTTCTGTATATGCCTTTGAGTTACAAAGTATATAATTATCATATAATTAACGCAATTGAGTTTTAATTAACAAGATAGAGTTGACTTTGACTTTTCATTTTCCTGTCATATAGCACTGGTATCACTGAGGATGATCCACGATGGCTGGGGGCATGGTGGATTGGATTTCTTCTGGCTTGGCTCTTTGCTTGGTCTTTGATAATACCTTTTTCTTGCTTTCCAAAACATTTACCAGGTAAATATGTTTTGTTTAAAGCCAGGGAGTTGTATTCCAATTCTAGGCCAAATATTACTTTCTCTATGATTGATAAGAAACCTAGAAAATCATTGTTTTATAGAATCTCACTTGTCTGCCTATGCAAACTTTTTGAATATCTGTCTTTATTTTAGGAAATATTGTAGCAATCTTAATATTTATGGTTTTCTTTTATTTTCAATTAATAATCAATAAAACTGTACATATCCACCTCTTTACAATATACTTACTAAATTTGTTTCTTATGTGTTATCTGGAATTCTGCTTTATTTATATATGTAAGATATAATATATTTTAAACTATGAGTTGGCAATTATTTGTTGCTGAAAATACAAATACTTTTTCCCCCCATTTTCACCAAAGTCATGCTGTAACATACTCATTTTTCACTATATTTCAGTGCTAGTCAGTCTGTCCAAAAAAGAAAAGATTAATAGAAAAGAATATCCATTTCTTTCTTTGTGAAATTTTGTTTCTTTATAATTATTTAGTTCAAATATATATCTACAGAAGTATTCTTCACTAGGCTCAAGATATTTAGTTGTTTCTATTATAAGAAACAGGATAGATGATTAATTTTTGGAAATGGGCAAAATAAATGTTGGAAGAGTAGAAGTAGGTGGGCACATTGATTTCTTTCTACCCTGGGCCATCCAACTTATGACTCCATATATTGACTATTTTCTTATATTTATTCACAATACCATTATTAAAAATCAAAGGGATCTGGCGATAGATGATAAGTATTATTTCATCTGCAAGTATGTTAGAATTAAAGGAAAAAAGCCTCAAACATACTCTGTTTAATGTATAAAGGATGAGAAAGAGAACCATATGAAAGGAGGAAAAAAGTTTAAGAGACTTTAAAGAGAATAAATGTGTGATTGGAGCAAAACTGTCTCATCTTAATTTTTAGACTAGTTGGAACTTCCTTAGCTAATGGCAATAATATTAGCTCTTAGGACCACCAGATTATAGACATAGATATTTGTACAATTTTGTTGACAAAGAGAAGAACTAGCTTCTTATATTATAGAATTTATATACTTGTAGAAGTGTGTGACAATTGAAAAGCAAGCATTTTAAAAAGTGAAGAATGAAATGAAAGGGCAAGTACATTTACTATCTTTTTAGGTACAGCAGAAATTCAAGATGGAAAAATTTCCCAGACTCATCAGAGTAATGGTTCCTTGCAATACATAGATGCGAATTTTGGAAAAAGTTTTAAAGATTTTCCAGCTGCTCTAAAGGTAAAATAACATTGTTCATAACCCACCCACCCCCCTCCCTCCCCACCCCCAACATGCGTATATAGAAATATGTATATATTACATGTATACATGAACACATATATATACACATGCAAATATTTCCATAATGCATTCTTATTTGCTAATTTACTATTATTCTAGCTCTCGTAAACAACTCTTCAGATTTAATTTTATTCTGCTTTAACTAAATGAAAGCTATGCCAAAGAAGAATGGTTGAAAGAACATGAGTTATCTTATTGGCAGTATCATTTTCGGTGCTTCTTCCTTAGCATTATAGCCCATTATTCCATGCCATTTTCCTTATGTAATAGATAAGTCAGTTATCGCTGAATTGCAAATATATATTTGAGAATGCCAAACCAATATTTTTTCCTTGTGAAAGAAGTAACGATTAGTGGTTACTTGGTTTGAATTTGAGGTTGTGGAAACAAAAGTGTTCTGTTCTGTTGAACTCAGCAAAGTGTTCTTTCTATTTAGCATCAGAGTTTTGTACCTAAAGGAGTTTATAATTTTACCTTATGTTCTAGATTTGAAATTATTTACTTTTCATTAATTTTTTTTCTCCTAAATGAAAACCTTGCAATGTTTTTACTCCATTCCATCTCACCTTTCAACATTTTATCCTCCTCTCCCATAGGCACATTTTTGTGTTTTGTGTTTTATTTTATTTATACTATTTATATGTTTATACTATTATAATAGTTCTGTTCTATTTCATATATTTCTATTTAATTTATTTTAAAAATTCTTATTTGTGTTGCTATCAAGAGCCATCATTTGCCACTGCTTTTTTTTATCCTTATGTTCTCACGCTTCAAGATCTCAATTCTGATTCATGTTTCTATGGATACAGCATTTTATCGCTGGTTTTCCTCAGATAAGATATCATCGAAGAACCCTTGAATAGTAGAATATTTCTGACGGAACTTCAGGATACTCCTTTAATCCCAGTAGTCTGTGGATGTTGTTTTGCACTCTTCTAATTAAATGTGTTGCACTTGAGAAGTTCCTTGTTAATGTGATTCTTACTTATTCTTCCATCTGCAAATTTGTAAATTTTTTCATTTATCTTTGTTTGATTTGGGGAAATTTACTAGGTCATGCCTAGGTATATGTCTTTTTTCATTAATTACTGCTAGGAATCCATTATCTCTTTTAATCTGAAGACTTAAATATTTTGTACTATTATTTTAAAAAATTATTTCATGTCTTAATTCAAGTATTTTTTCTTCTTTTGTTACTCTTATTCTGTTAGAATATTTGGCTATGACTTCTAAATTTCTTATCTTGCTCCTTTGTGACTCTGTGTGTGTGTGTGTCTTACTTGGTTTTATGAAGTTTTTTGTTTTACATTTAATATTCCACAACTATACTTTGGTTTTCACTTTATGGTTAAGTATATTAAAATAACCTCTGTACCCCCCCGATAGATTAATAAGATTCTCAGATTCCAGCAACATAGACACCTATTTAAAATTGCTTAACTCTGTGCCTGTCTAAGGTTCTTAACTACTGTATCCTTTACTCATGGAACAGTACTACAAGTTTGATACTTAAACACCATTCTCATCTGTGCTCACAGTCAAGTTCTTCATTTACTAGACATTGGAGTTCAGAACATAGTAAAAAAAAAAAAAAATCAAATAAGGGGTAGATTTATTGTATGGAGATTTATAGTAGGACTGGGAAAGGGAGGCTTTCCAAGTGGGATTTTACCTCCCTTCCCTGGTCTCACATATGATACAGGTATAGTTATCCCACTGATGAATCACCTGTCAATTCCCTAGGTGCTCCACAGATAAATTTTCTCAACATTGTATATATAAGCTATTAACAATCCATATTCAGAAAAAGCTGAAATCTTACAGATAATTATGTTGTGTTTATTAAAAGTTTACCATTTCATTATGCTACCACTCTAATGCTGCATTTTGCAGTATTATCATAGTTATTCATTTGGTGAACTGTATTTTTTCTTTAGAATTTGATGAGGAATACTGTCTTTATGTGTTTAGTTATATCAACATCTTCAGAAGCCTTAGTTACTACTGGATTTGCTACATTTTTACCTAAATTTATAGAAAATCAATTTGGATTGTCGTCCAGTTTTGCAGCTACCCTTGGAGGTAAAATATTTTCTTGGTTCTTACTTAATCTGGTAATTTTATTGTACAACATTGAATGTTTATTTGAATAGCTTACAATTTTGGATAGTCCACTTCTTGAAATAGAAACTTTATACTGATTTTGATTACGTTTCTGATTTTCTGACATTAAACCATCTATTGTATAACCTTAGGAGATATAGCTAAAGAGAATATATTAATCTTACTATTCAAAACATTAATTTTATTAATCTCTTACTTAATATAACTAAGTCATTTGTACGTTTCTAAAACACAAGTGCTTTTATATGTTAAAACCAATTTGGTGCTTGTTTTTGTTGTTTTTCAATTGTTGGTATGATTTATTGAGTGTATTTGTATATTTTCTCACTGTCTATGTCTTCTTTCTCATTAGGGGCTGTTTTAATTCCTGGAGCTGCCTTTGGTCAGATTTTAGGTGGTATTCTTGTGTCGAAATTCAAAATGACATGTAAAAACACAATGAAGTTTGCTTGGCTCACATCTTTAATCGCACTTGTGCTGAGTTTTGTATTTATTTATGCCAGTTGTGAAAACGAGCCATTTGCTGGTGTATCTGAATCATATAATGGGTAAATATATTTTAATGCTTTTTGATATTAATATCAGAATAATAAACTGTGTGTATTTCCAAATGTATGATACAATGAAGATTTTTTTTTTTTTAATTGGAGGGCTTTTTCCTATGTAAGAATATGTAGTTTGTTGTTGTTTTTAGTTTAAGTAGTGACATCTTCTTAAAAGTTGGGTATGTATTCAGATAGCAGTTAAGGAGCAACTAACTGTTCAGTATTGAGTACTATGCTCAGAGATACAAAGATTAATAATAGCAGAATCTTTGCCCTGAAGGGATTCACATCTTGGGAAGAATTTCACATCATATGTTCCTATTGATTTAAATTTTTTAAAATGGACATGACTTCTCATGGTGAAGTTCTCATATTAAGAGGCTTGAAAATGGGCTAGGAGAGAAATTAAAATGAAGTCAGTCCTAGGTGATACAAATTGTTTTATCTGCTTTAGAAGTTCATGTTTACTGTATAGAAGTAAATGACTTCTGACCTGTAAATACATTTCTACCTATAACTGGTTCGACTGTTTTTTGTTTTGCTTTGAAATTCTAAGCTCTGAGTAGGGGGTAAGGCAGAGGGCATTGCACGACTGTGTATTTTATAGCCCACAGTGCCACTGTAATTGTTTACTTACATGTGTTTGAGGCTGTTGATGGAGATGGTACTCCAGGCCAAGGACTCCATAATTTTGTATAATATGACATTCGGATAACCTAAATTAAATAAATTTTGGAAAAGTTTGCCAATAACAGTTATTATGATTTGTAGTTACTGTTCATGTCTGTCATTCTTTTACATTAATGAGATGCTAAGCATTCTAAAGCAGTGCTCCATTACATTTATTCAACATTTGTTGACTGCTTCGCCTGGCAGAACTTTATGGCAAAAATTTATACTCTAAAGAAGTTTACAGTTTAGCAGGAGAGATTGGGAAACAAAGCAGTGAATGAACAATGCATTAGGTAATGAGAGATATACAAAGGGCTATGGAATTCAAATGGAGAGCTTTTCAATTTCCTTTGATTAGATTCAAGAAAAGCTTCATGGCCTAAGGGAAAAATGGAGTTTAGATATCCTTTAAGGATGGAAAGAGTTTTGAGAGATAAAGATTTGAAAAGAGGGAAGTGTAGAGGGAATGTGTTAAGGCCAAAGCATAAATGCTAGAAAGCGAAGTCTAGGTTCAGGGACCAGTTGGAATGGGACTTAGGTCCTGTGTCTGGAAATAGTAGGAAAACATTTGGAAATGTTGAAAGGTAGGTACAAGTAAATTGGGCAGACCTGACTTTCACACATATAAATGTCACCCAAACCTTTCTCAAGAAACCACTTTTTTTAATGTTCCTTTTAGAAGAACAGAAAGTGCTGAATAGTTTAACACTAGTTTACCACCTTAACGAATGATTTAGATGTGAATCCATCTGGTATTTTCTCCCTTAAACAAGAGTTACTCCCAGATAAGCTGTCTTTAGTCTAATCAGAAGGGAAGGGAAGTGAGATGGTGCTAGTTTGAGGTGCATATGGGGGTTGGTCATCAAGACATATCAAGAGCTAGGATATAGAGGTAGTGCTTAATGTACATACGTATTCTTAGCGATGGAAAAAAACCAGTGGATATACACACAAACATATGCACAGTGTGTGTGTGTGTGTGTGTGTAAGTAAATATAGAGATAGACTTTGATGTCACAAAGGAGGTTCAACATTGTCAGATCGTTTTTTTTCCCTGTGGCCCCAAATTCTTAATTTTAGCTCTGTACACTGCATTTTAAAATGTCCAGATCATGCACAGCTTAGTCAAAATAGTCTCATCCAAGAAACATATCTGTATATAAGAAAATATATATGAAAGAACAGACCAAGAAGTTCAAGAAATACCATATTAGTGAGTAGAGAAAGAAGAGGTTGTGAAGATGTAGGGTTGCTAGTGGAGGGGTTGTGAAGATGTAGGGTTGCTACATGGAGTCTTTGCCCTTTGCCCTGCAAGCACTGGTGGGTTAACAAGCTTTCATGGCTGTGAATGGTGAATCGGGATTTTTGATAAGTTCATTTAAAGCTCTATTTAACAGTATATCCAGAAAGCTTAAGATCAATAATACTGATTATTTCAGGGGATATCTTTAATATTCATAATATTTTAAATTAATTCATTATTAAATGTTTAATGGGCAAAACACTAAATTCAATTGAAAAGTGATTGTCTAAGTATATTACTACAAATCTATTAATTACTAAAAATTTTCTATTGTTCTCATATTGCCTTGACACAATCTATGGGATCGTTGGGTCTCTTTTGATAGTGTTTATAATAGTGATTTGTGTCTTACTTTTCACTTAGAATATGAAATACCATAGTAAGTACACACAGTATTTTTTCTCTATTCAACCTATAGATGGACTTTCATTGCTTATCTGAATAACTCCTTAAAGAGGCATATCTATCAAGCTATTGCCATAGGTTTAGGAAATCTTTGCTCATTCTAGAGGAGTAATTATAGAATAGTTTGGATTCATATAAGAAATTAACATTTAAATTCTATTTGTGATAAATGTATTTCTCACATATACATATATGTGTGTTTATACACTCAGGTATATATTTTTAAATATTCAAAATTTTTGAAATTTAAAATATTTTATATATTTAAAAATATGTATATATTAAAGCAATTTAATAAACTTTGTAAACACTGGCTATTATTCTAACAAGTTTCTCTTTTACCTCATGAAGTAAAACTGTATAAAATATATAGGCTAAAGTGACCGAAGCTTGATAAGGAATGTATGCTATATTTCTTTGTTTCTACTGTAGTTTGCATCATACTGTTTTAAACTTTCATATTCTTAGTAATCATTTAGTAATAATATGAGAATTATACATTGGAAAATTTAAATTGAAAAATTATTGTGCAGAGGCTGTTTCTAGAGTTGCAGGAGTAGTTTTTCTTTTGTCCTCTTATTTTTTATCTATGTTGTAAACTAGTTGTTGGCAGAGACTGACTGTAATGTTTGCTTTTGTGAATAGAATCATTCTTGATAAAGAAATCTAGCAACAGCCTGTGGAATAGATTAGAAGCAGAAGAGACTCTAGGCAGAGTGAAGAATTTCTTTAAATTTACTCTGTAATCACCTTTTCCTTCACACTCCCTAATTTGCTTCCAGTTTGTTTTCTATCTTTAAATCTATTTCTTTCATGAACTTCTGTTCTCCCTTACTTTTTAAAATATTGTCATTTTCCAGCATAGCAATTATTATCTTCTAATACTTACATAAATCATTTCATTTACTGTTTTTGACCCCTAGAGCAAAAAGTTAGTTTAATGGTTAATGGGGATTTTTACCCTTCCTCTCGTTTTTTCTTTTCTTCCTTTCTCCTCCCCTCTTCCTTCCTTTCTCAGTCTCTCTCTCTGTGTCTGTCTCTATCTCTATTTCTCTCTCTCTCTCTATCTCTAATCTCTTTATTTCTTTTAGATAATTTCCACCACTTTGGGTCTAGCACATAATTGGAGCTTACTATGTATTCATGAAATGAACGGACTCCAAGACCTCTTTACCCTCTTCTCTCTCTACATGGGTTGATCTTATATTCTGCTGGTTTTAGCTACATGTATATGTGAATGAATATTAAGATATCTAGCCCCAGGCCAGATTTCCTCACCAAATCTGAGACTCTTAATCTTGATATGTATAAAACCATACCCATCATTTCTTTCCTCAAACTAGTTCTTTTTGTCCACCAAAATGCCAAGCTACACACTAGGAGTCACTCTTGACTCTTCCATCCTGTTTCCACCTTTAATCAATCAAACACCAAATCTTACTTATTCTACATTCAAAATATTTCTCAATCTGTTTACTTTAATTAAATGTTCTATTTTACTTCTCCTATACATTATCATAATTTATTGTCTGGGATATTATAATTGGTCTCCCTTCAAATTCATACTCTATATAACTCGTAGGATTATTTCTTTAAAATATGCTTTTGACAGTGTCACTTTCCAGTCTAAAAATACTTTGGTTACCTTTTCAAAATAAGTTAAAGCCCATTGTTTTTCACAAGGTCCTCTAAGCCCTCAGCGATCTGTACCCTGACTCTTCTCTAACTTCATTTCCTACATTCTCTGCTTCAGACATCATTTATATTTCTTCGTATATAAAATGCTATTTATATTTATACTTCTTCGTATATAGAGTGCTATTTCTCACCTTTATGTCTTTGTACCAGCTTTTCTGAAGTACCACTCATCTTCCCCATTTACCCAGCAAACTTTTATTCATCCTTTAAAATTCATCTCAGGCTCCTGTCTAAACTGAATGAATGAATAAATAAGGGTTTGTAGAAGTATCTTTGGCAATGTCTAGAGATATTTTGGTTGTCACAACTCAGGGGATGGTACTGGCATCTAGTGGGAGGAGGCCAGGGATACTGCTCAATATCCAGTAATCCACAGAACCAGCTCCCCAAAAAGTCATTTGCTATCAAATGAGAAATTCTGCTCTGTTTGTTTACTCTGCTTATTTTTCTTATCACTGACAGACATTATATTATATAACTATTGTTTCTACTGCCTTTCTCTTGCACAAAAAGTTAAGCTCTATGTGAAAAGGCAAGCATTTTATTCGTTTTATTTGTTTGGTAATAATGTGTTGAATGACTGAATAAATGACTAAATGACAAGATATAATAATGCTTCTGAACTGTTCATTAAAAGTTATAGGTCATTTGTCCATCTTTCATTTCTTGTTGACAGAACGGGAGACCTGGGGAACTTGACTACTCCTTGTAATGCCAATTGTAACTGTATGCGATCATATTATTATCCTGTCTGTGGAAGAGATGGAGTCCAATATTTTTCTCCCTGCTTTGCAGGTTGTAAAAATTCTGTTTCACAGAGACAGCCAAAGGTAATTTGTGTCAATATGTTCGTATATTTATGAATGGCATTCTTGATCCCTCTGATGGAGTTATGAGTGCCTATTCTTTCCTTCCTGGCCCACCTCCTCCATTCAGCAGCCAGGCATAAAGTTTCAGTCAAGTAAGATGAATAAACTCTAGAGATCTGCTGCACAACATTGTACCTATAATCAACAATTATGTATTGTACACTTAACATTTGTTAAGAGGGTAGATCTCAAATTCAATGTTCTTTCCTTAATTAAAAAACAAGCAAACTGAAAAAGATTCTTCTTTTATACCTCAGGTGCAATTATTGTTGGAAAATCAACTTGGCAGTTATATACATTTTTGTAATATCACTTCTATTATAGTAGTGAAATATTATTTACCCTCTTACATTGTTTTATTTTTTCTCAAATATACTTCATGCTCCTTGAAGTCAGGTAACTTACTAAGTACAGTGTATATATATAATAGAAACATAAATATTTGTTGTCTTTATTTGATGCACCATGGATTCATTTAAAAGTGTCCAAATCGTTAACTTGTTCTCAAATACAAATTTACTTTTAATTCTGGATTAGATATGATTTCTTTTTAATACAGTTAAATTAAGAGAATCCAATTTTATTATACTATATCTACAGTAAAGATTTCAAATTTAAGAACCTGGGGAACAAATTGTTGATGTGAGAACATCCAAACCCACAGAGAATTTTTATAAGAGGTTATTTGAGCCAAACTGATTACATATGCAGGGGAGCAAGATCTCAAATGCTTCAGAAAATAACAGTTTTGCAGCTTCTTTTATGCATTTGAAATTAGGAAGGGAAGATAAGGAAGACTGGATGAGGGCCGGGAAAGCAGAGTGAGGATTGGATTACAGGATAGTTAACAAGATCATGTGCTCTCTTGAGGGTTTTTAAGGAATATTTCAAAGGTGTGTTAACCTAGATGCATAGAAACAATAGACAGAGCTTGCTTAAGGCAAAGATAAACCTTTTACTAATAAGTTATATGCCTAGGGCATAACCTTACCACATGAGGTTACTTTCCATAGAACTCTCCCCCACCCACAAAGTAATATTCACATTACTAATACTATGATACTGTATGATATGTTATCATTAATAGATAATGTGAAAACTAAAAGGACCTGAGGGAAATATATACTATGATTAAGATACCACAATAAACAAGATGACAAAAGCATATCTGTAATATGGACTAGTGAAATGACATTCCTTTTTCTATATAAAGATAAATTTAAGATTGCTGGAAAAGACTTCTACATAGTTAAGTAGATATAGTTATTTGAAACCTATAAAATTACTTTAGATTTCTTCTAATATGGATGTGCATGTTTGTGTGTGTGGATATACACATTTATATATGTTTTGTGCGTGTATATATATACACACACACACACACACACATATCTTTAGTGATTTTGTGTGTAATAAATACATTAAATATTTATCTCAACAGACTAGATTTACTCTTCCTGCTGGGGGTAAACCAGAATGTGAGAAATAATGTATATTTTTTCTTATTACCTAGCTTATAGATTTTAAAATGACCATATAAGAACATTGAAAAATATGTTAGAAAAAATGTCATAGTAGACTTCGATGACGTATGTGCAGTTTTAATACTTAGAATACAGTTAATTAGATCAGTACTATAAAGTGCGTATGAAAGTTAATAAAATACATCGGGAAGATTGTTACGATTCCAAAACCGAAGGTTATCATACCTTCAAACCAGTGGACATCTGGGATTGCTTTAGTTTCAAAACAGGTTGAGAAAATTAGGTATTTGTGTCTGTTATAAGGAGCATGATGCATATTATAGCATCAGAACTGCCTGGAACGTAACTCATCGATTACTCTGAGAGGTAGATAAGTAGGTAGCATTTTCCTGTATATAAAATGTGATCAATAAGTGCTATTGACTAACTCTAATTAGAAGATTATGACAAGGAGTTAAGTTATTCGAAGGGTTTTACTTGAATAATAACATGCATAGATACAAATACTATCCTGCACAAGGAAACCAAAAATAAACACATAAGTAATAGTAAAAATATAATACCCACAACACACTTAAAATGGTATTGGTTATTTTGATATGGTTAATTTGATATTTATATTTTTTACAAATACTATAATTGTCATTTTAAATAGTACATTGTTTTCTAGAGGTTGTTTAGGAAAAGCAAGTTACATTAATTTACAAGTTTTCTATTCATTCTGGCTTTTTTATGTCCATGTAACAACTTTTTTATGTAATGTGGCTTTTTTATTCCATGTAACAACTCAGTTTTTCACAGGATATTTTTATAGAATATTTCAGGTAGGCAGAGTGCATTGATAATAATTTAATAATAAACACCTATGCACATTTGTTCACAGAAATATTGGTTTCGTATTTCACACCAGTGACCTATACTATAAAAACAGATGCTAACAGCTAGCTATATTTAGCCAAATGGATACATTTTTTATGTAAGAGAATAGTAAAGTTTCATCAAGACAGATATTACTGTTCTTAAAAAATTTAAAGGCTACAATACTTTATTATTTAACATATCTGTTTGCTGAGGATAAAATAGTCTGTTTTGGGGATGTCATCCACATATTTGGGTGTCCCAAATTAGTACCAGTGGTCATAGAATACTTTTACCACCCAAAAAAGGTCTCTGGCCTCCAGAACAATAAGAGCACCACTTCCTTTGACTTCTCTGGCTCTGCTCTGACTTTCTTGAGGCCTTAAATATGTAAAGATTTTGGTAAGGATGGAGTTGAGATGTAAAAGGCCCTTAAAAAATAAATATGCCTAACTTTTAAATATGTAATTTTTCATACAAAAGTAATACTTGTGATTTTTTAACATGTTACCTTCTAACATTCTGTATTATTAATTTTTATGTCTACAAATGTGTATATATGTGTATTTATATTAAATAGTTAATATGTTATTTATATATAAAATAGCCTCCTGGGTAATGTAATATCTTCTAGTTTTTGATTGTCATAAATATGTCATCTTAAGAGGGATAAAGTTTGCTTTTGGTAAAGCAATTCAAAAAGTTTAGAAAATTATAGTAAAAAAGCTTAGTTGAAAGCAGCATTTCTCCCCCAAACTCCTGTGACATATTAATTTTACTATAGCACTTATTAAAATTATAGTGTTCTTTTAAACTAGTGTAAATAAAGAGATTGTCACTATGTGTTTTCTTTATATCCTATAATGGAAAAGAAGAAAATTAACAGAAGAAAATTAAAAGAAGAAAACTATTTGAACAATTATGGTCTATTCAGAGCAATCTAGAATGTGCACTATCATGTAATTGTTATCTTTTTGTCAATTTGTTTTACAAATCATGAGTCAATAATAGGTTTCAAGTTGAAGTAATGGACACAAAAGTCAAATACAGATGATTCTACTTTGTAAATATGGCCCCTGTTTTCCCTTGCTTACTTTCTTAGAGTTAATTACTCTTTCTTAGCAGCATTTGTTGTGTATGGATTAAGACTGTGTAAGAGTGCCATGTCTAGAGATCACCTAATTTACAATGATAAAACATGTCTTCAAGATAAGCACTTTTGGTATTTTTATGTCTAATATTCTAGATATATTACAACTGTTCCTGTATTGAAATGAAAACAGAAATACCTACAGCAGCAAGTTTTGGCTTTGAAGCTAAAGCTGGAAAATGTGAAACTCAATGTACAAATCTGCCCATATTTCTTGGCGTTTTCTTTGCTACAATTGTTTTTACCTTTATGGCTGGTACTCCTATAACTGTGTCCATCCTAAGGTATGTATTATATTTTGAAATTTGCCATCCCTAAGGCAACATGTTGAGTGAAAAGAAAATGGAATCAAGGATTCATCTGGGTTTATATTGACCATCGGTTCCAATACCAATTAAGTGCTTACAAGATCATTAGTTCTATGGCATTAGAAAAGCTACTTCATTGAACCCCAGAAGTATGAGGTTTAAATGAACTCATGTATGTGAAAGTATCCTAGCATTGCCCACCTGTTATATGCTTGATGTTAGTTTACTCCTTCATTTATGAGGCTTCAGTTGTAAGCTGGAGATATGTTCATTTGTACTTATATGATGGAAATACAGTGTACTCCATATATATCAGAATCAGAATGACATGCATTCTACCTTATACAGTAGGTGCTGTGATAGTAAACCGTCCTGTGAACAGTGCTAGTAGATAAGAAGCTGGCTGTCACCTGGTTCTTCACAGTGTTTTGTGCTTTTAGTTGCTCTTCCTCTTCCTACACTGCTTTGTAAAAATATTTCCTGTTTGCCCTTCCATAAGCTCATCAGCCTTTACATATTTCTTAACAAACTCTAGCTTTTTTCCTTTTCAGTTTTTGTCCCTTGATACTCACTCACTACATTTTCACATACTTTTTGACAAATGGAAGTTTTAGTGATTCTGTCTAAAAACATTAAATAGTCTGTTAACATTACTCTGTATGGAAATTTGGGTTATTTTAGAGAATAGGGAATATGCTTTTTAAAAATTCTGAATATTATCTAAGTCATCTTTCAACTGCATATTTGTTTCTCAGGACTAGTTGATCTCTTTTATATCTCATCTAACTTGCTGGTGTGCCAATATCATGTAGCATTCATATTTGATAGTAGTTATTTAAGGAATTATTGTTGACTCAAATTGAACTTCAACAATTGTTTTACATTGTTTCATATTTGTACTCTTAGCCCATAGATATGATTTCTCAAAGTTAGTAAGAGAGTAAAAAATTATTTGCTTGAGACTTAAGTCATGTGACATGTGACTTATGCGACAGTCAAAAATAGATCTCGCTAATAAATATCCTTTCTCCTTTACATTTGTTAAAATTCATACATATTCAGTATATTCATTAAAATTTATTTGTATCTTTTTGGTGGTGTTTCTGGTATTTTAGTTCAGATAACACTTTTCTTCTTTCATGATTCCAGAAAGGTTGAACTGTATATAAGCTGTTACAAGTAATTTGTTTCTTTCATGTGAATAACATTTACTTTAATCTAGAAATGCTAACCTGGTATAAAAATGAATTTGTTCAAAAAGTGAATATACTACACAACCATTTTTGGCCTCATGTGTGTTCAATATCTCCAGGTGTGTTAATCAAAGGCAGCGATCTCTAGCATTGGGAACACAGTTTATGATGCTTCGATTATTAGGTATGCCATTGTTTTTACTTCATTGCTAACTTGGTTGTTTTGTTCATTAGTGATAATGATTTGTTCATTTATAGTATACGCCAAGAAAATAATTAATTTAAATGTAGTGGAAAACTACATAATTATACTTAAAGAAAGCTGTTTTCAAGCATTTAAAATATACTATTTGTATATCATTTAAGAAAATAATGACTTTACTTTTCACCTACCTGATTGGTTAGCTATACTTTCTAATTCTGTTGTGAATATAACCTTAAAGAGTATATCCTATTTGTTTGAAATATATGATCATCAACACATTTCTAATGGAGCGCAGTAAAATACACACTTTTTTCTATTATATAAAACCTATTACCAAAATAAATTACGATAATGTCTTATTTATAACTTCTGTAATTCCTTTTCTCCCTGCATTTTTCTCCATTTGGGACATAATTATGTTACATTAGCAATGAAAATTAGTAAAGAATTGATGTAAGAAAGAATTTATACCAGAAAGTTGTATAAGATTCCAGATATAGAAAGGATAAGAAGACAGAAACATTATGTCATACACATAATTATGTGTGTATACTTTTACACATAATATTATGTACATAATACTAAGATCATTTTAAAAACCAAAACCAAAAGCAGGAATATTAGAAATCACCTCAACCAACTTTCTCGTTTTTCAGATGAGTAAATTAAGGCCCTGAGAGAAAAAAGGGATTTTCCTATAATTATGCAATTGCTGGTGAAAATGGGAGTAGGAAAATGGCCTCTTTACTCTCAGTCCAGTGCTCTCTTGACTCGGTCATGCCACAGGTCAGGAAAGAACAGGCTGAAATCTTTGTCTAAGAATTACAACTTCAAATCATGTATTTAATTTGTAACAGTTGGAAGCTCCTTAGCTATGTGAAAGTTTAGTGCCTCCTGCTTGACTTCATGGAGGGGAAAGTGCGTGTATTTGAGACAGCAGTACTCCTAGGCATGTTAGTATTAGTATGTGTGTGTGTACGTACACGTGTGCATTCTCATGCATGGACACACATGTCATCGCATGTCCATATATGTATACGCATGCCCATGTTAGTTTATACATACATGCATACACATATAACACACATATTGTAGTTTAGCAGAGTTATATTGTGCATTGATAATTTATTTTGGTTTTTTAAAGTATAAGAGCTAATTTCAAAGACATTCATTATATTAGAAAAGCAGTGAATTAAAATATTTACTTAACTAAATGTTAATGCAATATATACCAGAGATTTGTATTAAAATAATTTTTTGAATTGATTAGAAATACATAATTATGTGTAATTATTTTAGAATGTTTTCTCTGTGTTTCCTTATATCCCTACTACTTGTACATGAACCAATTGGTTTGCAAAAGGACAGATTAATACCTATTCTTATTTATATAAAATATATGTATAACCATGAATATAAAAATCTATAATTATAAACTGTAATCTTTACCCATGTATATTTCACATATAATTCTTCTAGGCTCAATACCTGGACCAATTATTTTTGGCGTCACAATAGACAGCACATGTATTCTCTGGGATATTAACGAATGTGGAATTAAAGGAGCTTGTTGGATTTATGATAATATCAAGATGGCACATATGCTAGTGGCCATAAGTAAGTAGTGACTTCTTGATAATTTTAGAGTAAATTGGTGATGTATCAGAAGAAAAAGAAATCTTAAATGGTTACTTACTTAGGTTTTAAAATGTTCGAGAAATCTTAGATAAAAATATAATATATATACTTACATAATATGTGATATTCATTGCAATTTTGATCTCATTATTTTGGCACATGTATTAGATAGCTTATTGCTCTTACATGTTTTTAAACCCAGAGTATGCTGTCTGAATTTATAGTGACAGTAATAAAATATCTACCAAAAAAATAAATACATAAATCCAAAAAAACAATGGGAGAGTAAATATTGACTAGATCTGGCAAAATTAATCATCTTACCACTTTTACCTGTTAAAAAAAGCACTTTTCTTCCCCAATGTGTTTTTATGTTTAAAAACTTAATTGGTTGTTTGTATTCTTTGACCAAAAGATATAGGTAATGAATTGTTCTTTTTCCTACTTTGTGATGGACATGAGAATTTTTTTCTCAAAGCACACATACTCTTAAATTTTCCAAAAACATTGTAACAGTAATGCTATATAATTAATCTTTCTATAAATCTAGAAATGCTTAGGTCAATAAGCATTACTGTTTTTCAAGTACATGTTTTTGAGTAAAATATTAATGATTAACACAAAGTAGCTACTGCAAAAACTACATCGTAAAGGCCATTTAGCTTATTTGACTGTAATTTACGTGCTTGTGCTGTGCCAAGGACTAGTTTCTCTTCTTTGGCTGAGCACGAAACAGAGTTTTTTGAAAACAAAAGCTGGTGAAGTGAATCTTAATATTTCATGTTTTAATTAATATTTAAAAGTAAATTTGGTTGAGTATTGTATGTGATATATTTCCATAGAGGCTTTCCCTTAAGAACTCCAAAGCTTAGGGGGTCAAACATGGGGTGACAGAAAGAAATCTAACTATGGGAGGTGAACACACAGCATAAATATATATATATATGTCTTACTGTTAAAGTGTACAGCTGAAACCTTTGGATTTCGTTAACCAATGTCACCATAAAAAAAATTATTAAAAAAACTAAAATAAAATTTAAAATAAATAAATAGAGAAAAGAAAAAAGAAATTGTTTTCACCAAAGCCAGGTGGCAGTGCCACTATTATATAGCCCTATCATTCTGAGTTGGTGGCCCATTGCTTCTGCACTGCTGTCTACCTGCACAGGACTTTCTTCTTGTGATTATTGGGACTATTATGCTGTTATTTTAACATTCACCATTATTATAATTTAACATTTTTTTTATATCCTAAGGAAAAACATCTCCAAAGCTTTTTTATTTTTAGAATTATTTTCTATCATGAACATGAAGATTCTATACCTTTATTTCAGGTTCAAGGATATTATAAGCTGTTTTCCTTTGTCATTGACTTTTGATTGCTTGCAATTAGATATGGTGTTGTGTAAATGAAGTTAGAAATAGAACATGGATTTATTCCATTCTATAAAACATTTATTTTATAAGAATATACATTCATAACCAAGAATAGAATAATTATTGTACATTTTTATTGCTTAGAAAAAAACAAAGGCTAGTTCATTGAAATGTATATAGATTTTTTTTATTGAAGAATATCATCTTTCTCTCTAAAGTTTTAAAAATTTAAAACACTTAAGTGTTTTAAATGCCTACATACTCCTTCTCTTTAAACTAGTAAATTTCTATTTGTGAAAAATTTCTCCATGAGAATTAATTTTTATAATAATTTGTAAGGCCCAGATACATGATTCATTCTTCTTTTTCTATTTAGGTGTTACTTGTAAAATTGTCACCATTTTCTTCAATGGGCTTGCAGTATTTTTGTATAAACCGCCACCATTAGACACAGATGTGTCATTTCAAAATCCGAATGCAGTTGGGACTGCTGTTTCAGTAGAATGTGACCCCCACCAAAGCAGGAAATGAAAGGTGAAATAGAAAAAGAAGAAATCATTTTACAGGTGGAAAATTGGCCTCCATTTGTAAGAATGCACATTGCCATTGCAGCATTATCTACCCAATATGGACAATCATTTTAAAATTGATATTTTATAATTAAGTGTATTTTCTGTATATGTATGGACTCTTATTGATTTTTGTTTAAATGTAAGATATAGACCTGTGCCTTCAAACCCACCAGAAGCCTCTTAAAACATACACACACATATTTCCCATTGTCTAGATACAAAATACCCAACTAATAAACTAAACTAGAAGAAAAAAGCCAATGATTAGTTAACTTTACATTTTAAAAACAAAGTGTTGTTTCCATCCCTCTAACAACTTGTTTTATTTTAATTATCATTTAAGTAGTTGGGGCTTATTTAGAAAATTTATAGTGTAAAATTAAACTAATCAAATTTATGTAATGATTTTCAAAGACTATTATTATTGAAAGCCCACGAATTTAAAACCAGCTAAATAATATTTATTTTTAAAATTACATATACTAATCTGTCCTTTATCACAGAAAGTTACCCAACTATTAAAGTATATAGTGAATTCAGAAATATTATCATTATATACACATATTTTCACTTTAACTCAAGAATTCCAGGAGGTAATTTGTTGTATCGTTGATTTTTAACATTTTCCTCTAATGAATCTGTAATAGTGTTATTCAATTACATGTCTTCTGGAGGAAAGTATCAGCTTCAATAAAGAAAATAACCAATTAGACACAAAAGGTTTCTTTTTTTTTTTTCCTCCAATGGCTTAGGTGCAGTTTATTGTTTTTCTTTGAAAAAATTTCTTAATGAACTATTTATTGATCAATGTTTAGATACTCAGTACTTTAATTTCATTGTAAAAACTGATTACCTAGTACATTACTTATAGCACCTGAAATAGTGCTTTGCTTATAGAAGGTATGTATTATTGTTGTTTGTTTAAAACACACTCTACTCTTTAACTGATCCATTTATTTGAAAGGTAAAGTATTTCATGTGTCTGATAATGTTATAACATTCCATTTATTCAGGTCAGACTTCAGCCAACTTTGTCTACTCAGCATACAGAGGAAATAGATCAGTGAACATCAACAAAAATAACTTATACCTGGTCAGGAATTTTACTGATAAGAAAAGTGTTGATGTTCATACTCATCTGAAATTTTTGTAAAATAAGGTTACCAATTCAATCAGATTTCTAATTAGCTTTCCCTGAAATTAGCTTTCTTATAAGCACTGTGATCAGAATAACAAACTGAGTGTAATGGCCTGAAATCCAGGATCAGAAGCACTAGTAATTCACAGAGTTTAAAAGATTTCATGGTAATCTGTGGCCAAAGATGAGTCAAGAAACTAGTAGCATTTATAAATTGAAATGCAATAAGGAATGAATTAGAGTTAGGCAACCAAGCATACTCTAATACTTTGAGTATTAGAGAATTAGAGGAGCAATGGGGTCAGGAATGAGAGAGAGAGACCTACTTAAACCAAGAACGTATAAACTCCAGTTGTTGAACCCAGCTGGGTAGTCAAAAACTCAAGTATTCGGGAAGCAGGAAATTCATAGCAACCAAAGAGACAGTGCAGGGTAGGCAGGGGAACAAACACGTGATACTTTGATTCAGAATCATTCTCCTCACCCAACAAACACATTTTAAATGCTGCTTCCTTTTGGAGCCAAGGCTAAAGGAGAGTTTAGGTTTTCTGTGTCCTATACGCAGAAATGTGGAATTGAAAATTTTTCTGGATGTGAAATAATGTTAAATCCTGAGGAACTCACTGATAAAGATGTGAAACCAACAGCAAGAGAGGAAACACAATAACTGAAAACATATTCATCTAAGTCCACTTAATTAAGAGAAAAGAAATCACCCCATACATAGAAATAGTTTGATGAACAAGTGACTAAATAGTTGGCATTTATAATGAATTTTAGTTATTAAGGGTTTCATTGTATTCTGTGTACTCAGTTTGATACATTTTTACATTGCTTCTTACTAATGATTAAAGTGAAAATGTTTTTGGCGCTTGAAGGAAGTCAGTCTCTTATTTATAATATATATATTTATAAAGAATACCTCCTTTTATAATATGGCAGGAAAGACACTACTGTAATTTATAAACATTGTTTATACTTTTGGATTCTCCTAGATTATATGGGTTGGTATGCTACTTCTAAAACAAAATTTTTCATAGTATGTATTTTTCACAATTTGTAATGATTTTTAACTTAGCTTGAATCTATAAGTCGACCTATGGTGATTTTTGTACATAATTACATATATGTCTTAAGACTTTTATTTTAACATTTGGATTTCCTTAATGCAAGAAATACAAAAGTAGTAAATCCAAACTCATATATGGAAAGAACTGTATACAATTGATTTAGCTATATAAATTGGAGGAAACTATAAATAAAATTTTAGCTCTATTTTCTTTCAAGATTTTCTTTTGTAAACAATTATGCAAAATGTGTATACATGTCTTTTTTTAAAAAATCAGACTACTGGATTGTTTTGAATGTTTAACCTTATTAAATGGTACAGATTTTAAAATACGATTTATCTGTTTATGAAAACATGCACACGTGGTTGGGAGAGGGAAATCAGTGTATTTTTGAACTTGGTGAATGTAATTTAGTTAATCCGATGATTTCTGGTATCTCAGCAGGTGAATTTAATTCAATATAAAGCACATACATTATGAAATATGTACTAAAATTCTTCACAATAATCTCCATCTATGACAGATGGGTATATAAGATTTATATGAGTAGGATACATGTTTCAAATGGCTGGCTGTAAAATATCTGACCCTGCAAAAGTAATGTGTTTTGGAAAGGTTATATTTAATTCATCTTGAGTTGTCAAAATAGTATAGCATCCTTTAAACAGATCAGATTGGACAGTAATATGAGATGTAATGTCTTTTACCCCTCACTACAACACATTCAGGCTCCTTCAGCATTTTTTGTACCCAAAACAGTAAACACTAACTTACACATTATATGTAAGTGATCAAAAATAAATAAAAGACATATTTTAAAAAACAATCTGTACATTGGATCAAAATATTTTAGTGTTTTAGCTAAAATTAATTTAGCTTCTAAAAATCACCCTCAAGAATTTACATCCTAATTTTAGATTTAGCTTGTCTGACTTTGTTTTTAAACTTTATAATAATTTTATACTTTTAAAAAGTTATAAAAATAGTACGGACAATTCCCCTATAAGCTTTACTCAGTTTCTTCTAATGTTAACATTTTAAATATCCATAGAGCAATAACCTAATCCAGGAAAGTAGCATTGGAGAAATAGTTAATACCGCAAAAGGGCATGCATGGCAGAGCTATTTCCTGCGATGGCAATATTAGTTTTTTTGAATGGTTGAACTCTATATATTAAAATGGTGCATTTTACAATAAGTAAATTATACCCCAATAGAATTGATTCATAAAGAAGAAGTGATAGAAACAATGTTAAAAACAAAACGAAAAATACATTGCTGGGCAAATAAACAACAAAAAACATTGCTGGGTGCTTCCAAGTCAAATGAGAAGCCCCTGAGAGAATCATGGTAATGTTGAGGATGTTTCTAAGAAAGGAGGCTGGTATCTTCCCTAACTGGATGTTTGCTGAGTTCAGTCCCATCAGAATGGAGTATGTACTCTAATATGTTGAGGGAGGAGAGGAACACAGAATTGGGTTCCTGGCTTAACCCTAGTGACACACAAACAGGAAGCCTTGGAGAGGTAGCTCACGACATCTGAAGATGAGAATTTCGCATGCCATGAGACATGTTGGAACACGACTTTGTCAAGCTGTCTGGATGGGACTCTATCCCCAAAAGCGGCCTACTGGACGGTTCCTGGCTGACGATGATTTGACTTAAAATTTTCTGACTTTAAGATGGCATGAAAGCGGTAAACATTCAATAGAATCCATGCTTTGAATTATGATCGTTTCCCAGGCTAGCAAGAAACAGTCCGGTGTTCTCCAGAGGCTGGGCCTCAGAAGCAAGCTGTGGCTCCCCGGGCAGCAGGAAGGTCAGGAGGGTACGCAACCCATACGCTATGGTGTGCTGTGTTGCCTGCGTTTTTTGTTTCTGTTTTTGTTTTAGGTCAGCGCTTCAAACGTTCTTCAGGTCCAGTGTGCTTTCAGCTGTGTGCGTTAAAGGTGAATACCCAAACAACTATTTTTCATTTTCAGTATAGTATACAATAAATTACATGAGACATTCAACACTTTATAAAATAGGCTTTGTGCTAGATGATTTTGCCCAACTACAGGCTAATAGAAATGTGCCAAGCATGCTTAAGGTAGGCTGGTCTAAGCTAAGATGTTGGGTACGTAGGTTAAGTGCTAGAATGTATTTGAAGGTAGCAATGAGTTAAGAATAAGGTCCTTACAGATTGTTTTCATGAGTTTCATCTTTTCGAGTTACTTTACTGTCTTTGTGTCCTCCTTTTACTTGTTCGGAAGAAATAAACAAGATTTGCTTATTTAGTAAATTTTTTCCTCTCTTACCTGTGAAAAAAATCTTCTTTTTGAAAATCATTAGCTAGAGTTTGAGTTGAGTGAGTGGCAACAAAATCACCTGTGGAGCTTTACAATTAACAACGTTCAGGCCCCATCCAGGGCCAATTAGATTCACTAGTTAAACATTTCCTCCGTGATTCTAAAGTGAAATCGGGGTTAGAAAATGTTAAATATAAACTAACACACTGAAGATGAGGTGAAGGTTATGAATCATATTTTGTCAGTGATTTAATTATTTTTCTTATTTCTGATTTTGATCTTTAAGAATAAAAGTTTGGTTTGAAAACAAAGGATAGAAAATGAATAATGTGGTAATTTTAAGGAGTGAGGTACTTTTGAGACGTCTGAAAGTATGAAAATCATGTTCTCCCTGGGATAGAGTAAGGTAAGTTGGCGAAGAAAGTGCTAGAAAGTTGGAAAGCAATGGAGAGAAACTTACCTGATTTTAAAAATTTCCCAAGGCTCTTCCTTTCAGAAATAAAAATTAGCACCATTTGATAATTTTCTT